CTGAGGAATGTTAAATGTCCTAGCATTATTTTGATTCATTAAAATTACATTTGTGTGCCCAAGAAGTGTAAAAAACACCACCAAAGGGCTGTGGCAAAGACCCAACAGCTCTTCTCATATGGGAGGCTTAGCAGTGACACACAAGGAAGTTACAGACAAAAAATACCAGTCAATTACAGACAATAACCCCATGGCTTTGCCAAGTGGGGACCACATGCAGGAATTGAACTGACAAATACTACTTGGCATTGCTGTATATCCTAATGGCCCCTTTTATTATTCCAAATTCCACACCAAATTTTGTTATGGAATATATATATATGTATATATATATTCTTGTTTTATATATTGATCTTAGTTCACTTTCCTTCCCTCCCTCCCATGCCTCTTGAACCCATTCACATCCATTTTCCCCATAATCCTCAGGTAGGGTGATGCCTTCCAGGAGGGGTCATCAAAATCTGTCAAGTCAGGCTCTAGGCCCTTTCTCCTGCCCATAGGCTAAGGGAGTATTCCTCCATAGGGAATATGCACCCAAAGTCCTTTCCCCGACCAGAGATGCATCCTGGTTCCACTTTCACACATCCCTTAGACTTCCTAGGCCTTCTAACTGAGACCCATGATCAGGGGGTCTGAGTTGGTCCAATGCTGGTTTCCCAGCTATCAGTCAGGGGGTTCATGAACTCGCCCTTGTTCAGGTCAGCTGTCTCTATGGGTTTCTGTACCCTGGACTTGACCCCTTTTCTTATCACTCCTCCCTCTCTGCAATTGGATTCCAGGAGTTTGGCTCAGTGTTTGGCTGTGGGTGTCTCCTTCTGTTTCCATCAGCTACTGGATGAGGGCTGTATGATGGCATATAAGTTAGTTATTAATCTCATTATCATGGAAGGGCATTTAAGGTAGCTTTTTCACTGTTGGTCAGATGTTAGTTGGGGTCATTACTGTAGGTTTCTGGACATCATTTCTCTAGAGTCAGTTTTCTATTCAAACCTATAATGGCTTCCCCTATTATGGTATCACTTTTTTTTTTTTTTTTTTTTTTTTGCTCTTGTCTATTCTTCCCCTGTTTTAATCTTCCTGTTCTCCTCTCCTTGCCTTCTCTTCTCCTAACTCCCTCTCCACTCACTGCACCCCCCCTCCCAATATGCTCAGGAGATCTTGTTTCTTTCCCCTTCTGTGATGGACCTTGTATGAATACCTTAGGTTCCTCCTTGTACCCTAGTGTCTCTGGCTGTGTGAATTTTAGGCTGGTGGACCTTTGATCTATGCCTAAAATGTATATATGAGTGAGTGCATACCATGTTCCTCTTTTTTGACTGTCTTACCTCATTCAGGATGGTTTCTTCAATTTTCATCCATTTCCCAGCTAATTTCAAGATTCCATTGTTTTTTCCCCCACTGAGTAGTATTCCATTGTGTAAATGTGCCATATCTTCTTTATCCATCCTTCAGATGAGGGGCATCTAGGTTGCGTCAAGGTTCTTGCTACTATAAATAATGCTGATGTGAACATAGTTGAACAGATGTCTTTTTGCATGGATGTTGTCATTTGGGTATATGCCTGAGTGGAATTGCTGCATCCTGTGTAGTCTTGTTTCCCATTTCCCTGAGGAATTCCATACTGATCTCCCAATTGTCTTTACAAGTTTGTACTCCCACCAGCATTGGGGGAGTGTGCCCCTTTCTCTATATCCTCTCGAGGATAAGATGCCATTAGTGTTTCTAATTTTAGCTATTCTGACAGGAATATTATTGTATCTCAGAGTTGTTTTGATTTGCATTTCCCTGATGGCTAAGAATGTTGAACACTTTCTTAAAAGTCTTTCAGCCATTTTAGATTTCTCTATTGAGAATTCTCTGTTTAGTTCTGTACCCCAGATTTTAATAGGGTTATTTGGTGTTTTGGTGACTAGTTTCTTGAGTTCTTTGTATATTTTGGAAATCAGCCCTCTGTCAGATATGGTGTTGGTGAAGACCTTTTCCCAGTCTGTGAGCTGCTGTTTGGTCTTGTCAACTGTGTTTTTGCCTTACAGAAGCTTCACAGTTTCAGTAGGTCCCATTATCAATTGTCCATCTCAGTGTCTGTGCTACTGGTGTTACGTTCAGGAAGCAGTCTCTCATACCATTTTGTTTAAGGGTGCATCTCACTTTCTTTTCTAAGAGGGTCATAGTGGCTGGATTTATCTTAAGATCTTAGATCCATTTGGACTTAAGTTTTGTGCACGGCGATAGACATGGGTCTATCTGCAGTCTTCTACATACAATTATCCAGTTGTGCTAGCACCACACCATTTGTTGAAGATGCTCTTTTTTTCTGCATTATATAACCATGGCTTCATTTTCCCAAATCAGATGTTCATAGGTGTATGGATTAATATCAGGATTTTCGATTCAAATTGATTGGTCTGTCTATTTTTGTTTCAATACCAAGCTGTTTTCAGGACTATAGCTCTATAGTAGAGCTTGAAGTCAGGGATGGTGATAGCTCCAGAAGTTGCTTTATTATACGAGTTGGTTCGGTTATCCTCGGTCGTTTGTGTTTCCATATAAAGTTGAGTATTCTTCTTTCAAGGTCTGTGACATATTGTGCTGGTGGTGGGAGATGTCAGTGTGTACATATGTTTCTGGTATTGGTTAAAGAATAAAGCACTGTTGGCCAATATGATTAAAGATGAGGACAGAGAGAGTAGATCACCAGGCCCTCTCTCTGGTAAGATAAGACCACATGGACAAATTTAGATTAATAGAAATGGGTTAATATTTAAGACAGAGCTAGCCAATAAGAAATGCTAGTAACAGGTTAACAGCTTTATATCTAATACAGTGTCTCGGTGTGTTATTTGGGGCTGATGGGGTAGAGGGACAAGATTGGCAAGGAAAACATACATATAACATCCTGGGATTTTGATGGGGATTACATTGAATCTGTATATTACTTTTGGCAAGATTGTCAGTTTTATTTGTTGATCCTACCTATTGAGGAGTATGGGAGATATTTCCATTTTCTGGCATCTCCTTTAATTTCTTTCTTTAAAGCATCAAAGTTTTTGTCATACAATTCTTTCACTTGTTTGGTCAGAGTTAACTCAAGATATGTTATATTGTTTGTGGCTATTGTAAAGGGTGATAAAAAGCCTTCCACAAATCCAACAGCCCTTCATGACAAAGGCCTTAGTGTGATTAGGAATAGCAAGAAGATACCTAAAAACGATAAAAAGTAATATACAGCAAACCAACAGCCAACATCAAACTAAATTGAGATAAACTCAATGTGATTCCTCTAAAATCAGGGACAAGAAAATGTTGTCTACTCTTTCCATAAATTCTTAATATTGTACTTGAATTTCTAGATAGAGCAAGGAGATCAAGTGTATATAAATAGGAAAGGAAGAAGTCAAACTTTCACTATTTGTAGATGATATGACAGTTTACATAAGTGACGAGTAAAACTCTACCAAGGAACTCCTACAGCTGAGAAACACCTTCAGCAAAGTATCAAGAAAGAAGACTAACTCCAAGAAATCAGTAACCCTACTCTATAGAGACAATGAATGGACTGAAAAAGACATTGGAGAACATTCAAGTACTCCCTGAATTATTCATTCATCACATAATTTGTTTTCCCAATTCTGTCCTCCCGGTGTTGCCTTTAGTGCTGTTCAGTGTCCTTGTACTCAGTCTTTAACTTTGGATTCTTTATCAGGTATATTAGCATGACCATTCGTATTGAGGCCTGTTGTTTGTGTGCTCCTTTAGAAGCATCATGTGTTTTCATATTTTTGCCACCCTGAGCTGATAGTTACACACTGATGGACCACATGTGGCATTTGTAGCACAGTTTGTATGGTATCAGTTTCCTAAGACATGTTGCCTTTTGATCCTGTTGAGCCCTGTGCTGTAGGTGCTCTATAGTTTCATATGTGGTTGACGGTTATGGATATGGGTGATGTGTGCTTGGTTAGAAGAGTTGGAGACGCTTTCTGTATCCAGCACCAGATGAGTTAAGAGATACCCAATGCCCCAGTGGGTGTGATGCCTACAGCTCTGGGGTGAGGTATTTATATGGGACACCCTCTGTAGTGGGAGTGTTGACACTGAAAGTGTGTAGCATAGCCACACTAACTAGGGCAGCACAGTTGAGTAGGGGCTGTGCATGGCAGCTGATTTGGAGGTGAGAAGCATAGAAGCATGCTTCTTCATCTAATTTGTTCACTGTGACATCTTCCTTGCCTTGAACAGTGTGTGGAATACAGTAGGTTCTTAACAAGGCTTTAGTGTAATAGATACAACTAATAGTATTATCAACGAACGATGAATTAGTACTAGTATGTTCATAGTATTTGATAAATTAATGAATAAGTGAATAAATGAGAATGTATAAGTTATTTTGTACTGCTTCCCTGATTCTGACATCATTTTGGTTTATTATTATACTGTTTAGAGTTTAAAATCCTTTTTAAAAAGCTCATCCGTGAATGGAGTCATCTTTTGTTCCTATCTATTACCTTGTGCCTCCTAAATTGGACATAAGGAGTATCTGTTGTGTAAAAACATATTTAAGAACTATTGATCATTAGCATAGTTGAATGGGTTTATTAAATTATGTTAAATAAATGCATATTTAAATGCATTTTATTTTACTATTACTTTTTAATTTTATGTGTATGGCTATTGTGCCTCCATGTAGTGTGGTGCCTGCAGAGGCCAGAAGGGGGCGTAAGATTTCCTAAGACGGTATTGTATTAAGCTGAACTATTATGTATGGTTAAGTGGTAAGATTTTGTAGCCATTTTAAATGAACATTATTCAAAAAGGCAAAGTGACTTTGGCATAAAAGTATTATTAACAGAACTACAATAATGCAAAGAAAGTTTATTTCACATCAAATGACAAATCCAAATGTGAACAACCACTTCTCAGATTCTTATAAATGATCAAAGGAAACAGGCAGAGGCATCAAGCAGGTGGAAAGGACGCCTGTGAACGCCGTTAGCTCCATATCAGCAGTACGGAATAAGAGATCTTCTTGAACAACCGCGGTAGCAGCACTGATGGCTCATGTGTACACCGGCATACCGCTTTTTCCATGAATGAGTGTCCAAGTGCAAGGATTCAAGTTCTGGTGGATTGCTATCTTCCCCTTGGGTACCAACTGAATCGCTCACTACAGGCACATATTCTTGCTGCTCTGGTAAAGATGGATGCCCATCAGACACTGCTGCCTTGGGCTCCGGTGTCAAATCTGGAAGGCGTTTAGGCATCATGTCAAAAGGTTCTGCATCTTCCTTGATGAGGGAGGGTACGGTGTCTGTCAATAGAAAGAGGGTGGGGAGAGACAATGGCCATGTCAAGCAACATTCCCAAAACTAAAGATGTTTGAATAGAAAAAATTTTGTTTTGCCAGGATACAATCAAACCCTGAAACAGAATCAGCAAGTATTTAATATCTAAATGGTTTTGCTTGTAGGACGGTTCAGAGTGTTCCGATCTTACCAAGGTTCTGCTTCTTCCAAATAGCCTTCATACATCTTTCTTAAACACTTCCCCCTTGCTTTTTATCACAGCAAATTTCACCTTTTGATATTGAACTCATATTTTTCTGAATTTATGTTGGCCATTGAAGACACTAGTTTTCAAGTCAAGTATGGTGCCACACACTTCCAATCCCAGAACTTGGGGGTAGGGGGAGAGGCAGGTAGATCTCAGTAGAAGCAAGTCAAGGCCAGGAAGGTCTATGGAGTGAGTTTCAAGACAGCCAGGACTATGGAGAGAGACCTTGTCTCAAAACAAAGCAAAAGAGAACGAAACAAAACCCCACTCATCTACATGCTTTCCAAAGAGATCAGTGTCTCCCATGGTGTGTCACAGCATTAAGTGCCCTATTTGCCCATTGCTGTCTCGAAACTCTCTCTGAGTTTTAGCAAACCAAGAATCTGGAAATGTTGGATACGCTTAAGTTTTAATACAATGGCTCTGTTCTTGCTGCTGCTCTTCAGCTTAGGAGTAAGTCATTCCTATTGAAATAATAAAACCAAACAATCTAAAAGTACAATTGAATGTGGAGGGGAGATGCCTGGTTAGCTGTGGAGGCTTACCCTGTAGACAAAGCCAAACCCTTCACCTATACAAAGATGCCCTGGGACAAAACTTCTTGCTGAGAAACCTGTTGTTCATTCACTCAACCATATACTTCAGCATCTGGAATTTGGCAGAGGGAAAGCAATAGGACTGCCCCCTCTTTCTCTTCTCTCTGCGCCTGATTCATTCCCTGTCTAAACCAGGTATGGCAGGTGACATTCTGTATATGTATATCAGAAGCTTTCTTCTTTTTTTGCAGAGAGACGCTCTGACTTTAACTTACTTTATTGATCCCTCCTTGCTCTGAAATTTGTTCAGATAAGTTTCTTGGAGGCCAAGCAAATCTGATGACACCTCTCTATATGTTAGAGTAAGCAAGCAAAGGCCAGTTATAGTTTGGGTCAGAGTTAACTTACAGGCTTATGTGCCGATAGGTTAATGATATTCATTATTTAAAATTATGTTGGCCCATCCATTTTAATCTACCAGAATTCACACAGGTACACGCTTTTTCATCTCCGAGTTTAACCAGTGAGTTTACGGCCATGATAGTCTGAAAGCCTCCTTCTTGCAGGTCCTCTTCACTTTTCTCCAGAGTTTCTCCTGCACTTCCCTGCCCGTTGAATTGAACTGCAAGACCCAATTCGAAAAGATGCAGGACAAGGCTTGCTTAGCGACATGTGTCAAAAACGGGGAGCTGGAGTTTTCCCAGGCATGCTCCACAGTCCAGATTTTGGTTCCTGACAGGATCAAGCACCACCCTTGCACAAAGTTGCTGGCAGGGGCTGGGCTGCCCGCCCTTCTGCCTCTGATGGGTTCTCACTGGAACTCTGAAACCCAAGCAAGTTACAAAGACCCAACCTGAGGCTGGGGATCACAAACCACAGAGGACTGGTTTGTGATTTTCCAATCTGTGGGCAGAGGGTGGGAAGCCCTAGAAGGTAGGGAAGAGGGCAGAGGGCGCTCACCTGTCATTCGCTTATGTCGAGGAGCTGACTCTTCCAGCCCCACCGAGGCTGCACAGATTTCGAAAATCGCACGGACATATTCACGACCGCACACCTTGATGACTTGGTCCAACCACTCCTTGGAGACCCGCGCCCTGCAAGGCTGGCTTAGCAGCAGCCAGAACCCCAGGAGCTGGAGCACGAATCTGCAGGACATCTTAGTGGGGCAGCTTCTGGGAGGCTCAGCCTTGGAGGGACTGTGTTAGGCTGCTTTCCTAGTGCTCAAACCCTGGCTTTTATATCCCTTGGGCTCTCTTGGAGCCTGGATGTAATCTTCCAGCTCCACCCCCTTCCCGCCCACCCACAGGTATCTACTTCTTGGATCTTGATCACCTTTCCCACTTTTCCTTCAGCACATCACCCTCCTGACCTTGTCCCTTTCACAGCATTTTTCTCCCTCTGCTCTTGCCCTCAAATTACTTTGTATGCCAAAATTACTCTGGATTTAAGCCATTTCTTGATTACAGAATAAGTCATGCCCACTGCACTAACTCACATCAGCAGTAAAGTCAAGACCACCTTCTCATAAACAAAGGTTTGCCAGCGCGACCATGGGCGCTGCTACCTTCCAACCCCGGTGTCTGGTATGTCAGTCTGGAGAAAATATGGCAGGAGCAAGTTAAACTGTTGACGAGAGAGAAACTAATGACTTTTTTTTTTTTTTTTTTTTTTTTTACCTGAAACATGGTAGAAAACATTGGAACTTGTTTTGTTTTGTTTTGCTGATGTGAACAGGGTTGATTTCATGATTTATTTCCACCAAATTCCTTTTTTGCTGTTTCAAAATGCTGTTCAGTTTTTGTTTGCTTGTTTGTTTGTTTTGTATGTTGGTTTTAGACACTAGAGTGGACATATACCAAATCTGCATCATTTGATATTTGACATTTGACCTCTTCCTTCCCTCTTAGTCTTCTCTGCACTTTATTGACTTATCCTTCATCCTAAACTCTTTAGGACTATATTGAACCAGAACGGTGAAAGTCGATGTCCTTGTCTTGTTTTAAAGATCAGAGGAAATGCTTTCAGCTTCTCTGTATCCAATAGGATGCAGGCTGGAGCTTGGTATATACACTTGATTATGTTAGGGATGAACCTCCTATAAGTATTAAATCATGAAGCAATGGTGAATTTTATTCGGTGTTTCTGCTGCTTCTGTTGAGATAATTTTTGTATTGCATTTGTTGATTTGCATATGGTGAACAATCCTTACATCTGTCTCTAAGATGCATCCACCTTGGTCACCTTGGAGACAATGAACAATCTTTCTGTTGTTTTGATATTTTGTTGAGTGTTGTTGTATCTCTGTTCATCAATGACATTGGTCTGTAGTTCTATTTCTTGGGTCTTGTCTCCTTTTTGGCAAAGGGCAATGCTGACCTGGCAGAATGAATTTCACCTTTAGAATAGGTTGAGAAGAAGTGATGCTTCTCTCACAAATTTGGTAGGATACCAATGCAGAGCCATGTGGAGCAAGCTATTTCTCTGTTGGGTGACTTCTTGATTACACAGTCTTATTACTCCTGTTAGTCTAATCTGGTTTTCTATGTCCTAACAGTTCAATTTTGGTAAGTGATCTATGTCTAGAAATGATCCATTTTCTTGAAACGTGTCCATTTTCTTGTACCCTTTCATTTGTTTTTAAATGAAATTGATTTATTAGACATTATACTTAGCATATAAGGCTTTTTCATATTTTTTACATTGTTCTCAGTCATGCAACTATAATATTTTGTAACAGACATGTAATTGAAATAAAATAATAACCTCAGTTTGTGGTGCCTCAGCCTGGGGGTCTATGAGAATAAAGACCCCAAATCTACCACGTTTTTACCAAACAAGCCTGGAAATTAGGTGAACATTCCTGACTCCAACTAGAGGTCATTTTAGTTAAGACCCCTAAAAATCGATAATAATAATAATAAATAGTAATAAAAATTTGTAACACTTTATATAGTTCTTTTGCTCGTGGCATGTAGCCAGACTAATGCCTTCAAAAGGCATTAGTATGTTTTGGTTTTTCTCAGAAAGTTCAAACTATTTTTTGTATTAAACTCATGTGAGGAATGTTTAGCATATGAAAATACTGGTACAAGAAAACCTAGCTTCTGACAGCATCATTCCAAACTCCACAGCAAGTTTTATTTTCATATAGCACCAAGTCATATGGTGCATGGGAGGCTAGCCAGGGTAGCAAGTGAAAACCTCAGAGTAGTGAGGGCTTGGGAAAAATTCTTATCTTAGGGTTGCTGGTCACCTAAGAAAAAAATAAGCAAGTACATGATTTCCTGATGGTAAATGTCTCTTTTCCTTCATCATAAAATTTCTCTGAAAATCTCACTGTCTCCACACTGCTACGTATCTTTTCTTAGATTCCTAGTTATTTCTACACAAACTCTTCTCACAGCTCTACCAAGTTCCTACTCTCAGTTCTTCTCCATAGCCAAACTCTAGAGAATTTCAAGTTACATTTTTAGGGCCCAACCCATGACCTGTTATTCTAACACAAAGGAAGTCATGTAGTTTGCCTTAGGCTGGGGATGTCCCATAGCTTCTCTTAGGCTGGGAATGTCACTTAGTTTTTCTTAGGTTAGGGATGTCACATACTTTCTCTTAGGCTAGGCAAGTCATGTAGTGTGTCTTAGGCTGGGGATGTCCCATAGCTGCTCTTAGGCTAGGGATGTCACATAGTTTCTCTTAGGCTAGGAATGTCACACTGACAGGCCACTGAGTAACACCTGGGCAAGCATGTAGCTCTAAGTTTGTGAGGGTTCCCAGACAGTAAACAATTGGCTGCACATTGAGTAGTATGGAGTGCAAGCAGTAAGTGAAGTTATGTTTAATAAGTTGTGGGAGATGTCAGTATGTAAATATGTTTCTCATACTGGTTAATGAATAAAGCACTGTTGGAAAATAGGAAAGCAAGATAGCTTGCACTAGTTGACAAGGAGGATTCCAGGAAGTAGTAAGGAGGAGTCAGCATGGAGAGATTGGGGAGACCAGATGCCGGCCCCTCTCCCTGGCAAGATGAGACCACGTGGAAATATTTAGAAGAATAGAAATGGGTTAATAATTAAGACAGAGCTAGCCGATAAGAAACAAATATCTGGCCAACAGCATTATATCAAATACAGCATCTCTGTGTGTTAATTGGGGCTGGCATAGCAGTGGGACCAGACGGGCTGGCAGAAAAATCTTACTCCATACAAAATTGCTTCATCAAAAAACAAAACAACAACAACAAATGCCAACAAACAAACAAACAAAAACACCTGGGAAAATTACACTGTCTATTTGTCTCTAGGGGCAAGCAGACTGATTAGAGTTCGTTCCGCAGTCAAAAATTAGCTGTCTATATAAAAGGCTGTTTTTGCAACTGAGAATTCTATGTCAGTCTGAGTAATGGAAAATAACTTAGTATTGTTTCTATTTATTAAAGTTGTACAGCACAAATCATCTTCCTGACCATCCACAGCTATTTGTGTGCCCAAGAATGTAAAACACACCACCAAAGGGCTGTGGCAAAGACCCAACAGCTCTTCTTATTTGGGAGGCATAGAGTGACACACAAGAAAGTTACAGATGGAAAACAACCAGTCCATGACAGTCAGTAACCCCATGGCTTTGCCAAGTGTGGACCCCAAGCAGGGAACCGTTTGTCCGGTGGGTTGATCTGATAGACACTAGTTGGCATTGCTGTGTATTTCTATGGCCACCTGCATTATTCTAAATCCCACAGAGAGTTCTATTTTCACAGCAATGAGACTTTGCATTTTTAAAAAAGAGTACACAATTAACTTGATTCTAAAATCCAGCAATAGACTATACCCTGTCTCAGCTGTGTGAGAACAGGCAGCATTGTTGCTGGATCCTGACAGGCATGCTCCCGGGCAGCAGACAGATGGACAGCTGCCCCTGGAGCCATGTTCTGAGGTTTTGAGGTTGTTGGTGCATGGGTGTTCACAGGTCAATAAGGATCCTTGGCGGTCATCGCATACTGGTTTAATGCCTCCTTCTTTGTTTGTAACTTTAATTAGCTGCATGTCCTTTATTCTCTGACTAAGTTATTCTAACTAAAAGTTTCTCAAGTGTGTCTATCTTCAAACACCAACTCTTCACTATTTATCTTTTCAAGTGATTTACTCTGTATGTAGCCTTTGGTCTTTGTTATTTTCGATTTTCCCTGCCTTTGCTTTTCCTGGTCTTTGAAATACACAATTAGGCTGTTATTTGAAATCGTATACTTTTTATTTTGAAGCATTTATTGAGTTATGTCACTCTTGTTATTGATTTTTTAAGTTCCATATCATTTGGTATGTTAATTCTGTCTTTATGAATTTTAAGAATTTTTTTCCTTTAAGCTAAAATTTGTAATTTTCCATTACATTGTTTAAGGACGTACAACAAAAGAGAAATAAAATATGGCTTTTTGAGATGTTATCAAACCAATATAACAGAATATAATTTTTTCCTTGTATTTTGTAATAGGAATATATATACATGGTTGCAAAAATATTAATTTACTTTTTCATTTCTTTAATTACTCAGTATTTACTCAATATCATATGTTCAGTATGTATATAATTTATGAAGTTTCTTTTATCCTAATTTTTTTCAGGACAGGGTTTTTTATATGATACTACACTCTTTGTCCTGGAGATCTCTCTCTTTCTCTCCTTTTCTCTTTCCCTATGTCTTTCTATCACTCTGTCTCTCTCTCTCTCTGTCTCTCTCTCTCTCTATGTGTGTGTGTGTGTGTTTGTGTGTGTATGTGTGTAGACCAGGCTGGCCTTGAACTCACAGTTCTGCCTCTACCTCCTGAGTACTGAGACCAAATGTCTGCACCACCACTGCCCAGGTAGTTTCTTGGTTTCTTTCTTTCTTTCTTCCTTCCTTCCTTCCTTCCTTCCTTCCTTCCTTCCTTCCTTCCTTCCTTCCTGACTTTCTTTCTTTCTTTTCCTTCCTTCCTTCCTTCCTTGCTTTCTTCCTTCCTTTCTTTCTTCCTTCCTTCCTTCCTTACTTTGTTCCCTCATTTCTTCCTTCCTTCCTTCTTTTCTTTCTTTCTTCCTTTCTTTTTCCAGATAGGTTCTCTCTTTGCAGCTTTGTAGACCAGGCTGGGCTGGCATTCACAGAGATCTGCCTTCCTCTTCCTCCTGAGTGCTGGCCACCACCAATGCCCAGCTTCCGGCTAGTATCTTTTATTCTTGATTTCTAGCTATATTGTATTATGAATAGAA